TTCGCTAGTCATCAAAAAGCACAAATGGTTTTCCCCATGTGTAACGTGTATACGAGCCAGTTTCCCTTAGAAAGTCCCCCACAAAAGGCATCCCTCCCCTTAGGCAGATAGCCCTAGTGTGCTTTGCCATAATTAAATACACCAACACCACCAAAAAGCACAAATTAATTCAGAAAGAAAATAAAGGCAAAAAGCTATATGCCCAACGAAACTGCGTAGTTTGTGCGGCACATAAAAAAAAGAAAGTTGACTTGCTTCAAATGCGAGTTTTGCAATGCACTTCTTCATCGTAGTGAGTGTTCTCAACATTATCACACTCATAAAAAATACTAGATTCTTCTCACAAATATGCACTTTAAAACATTTTTTGTAATTAGTGTTTAGTTCTTTTTTAACATCTCTTGTTGTTTTAAGAGTTTAAATAATTTTTTTAAGTCTAAATTTTTTATGATTACACAAAATATCGCCCACTCTAGGACGAAAAACGAGGTGCGGCAGTCGCCGTGTTTACCTAGCATACTTTCGTCAAGATCCCCTGGATTTAATGTGTTAATAATTGTCCAAAATGTGTAGGTGAGATAAATGAATGCTAATACACATCAAATATACTCAACTATAAATTTTACAATTTTTTATTATTGGATCACCTTAGTTTATGTAATCTGATTGCTGCAACTACATGTTGACCTTACAAATAATATGGATATTGATAAATCCAAGTTTATGTAATACTGGGTGCAATACAAAATATAAAGTTGTACAAAATATCTCATATATACACATACATATATGTACAAACATTTTTTACATTTACTTCTGATACAAAGTAAGAATTAGGAATTTGAATGAAGGACCAGCCTTCTTCATGTTACATACTTTTTTATATTAATTGCCAACATATGTTTTATTTATTTTTTCCTGATTTACTGCATTCAAGTTGTATCAGCTACATCTCAAAAGAAATGTGAAGAAAATAGAAAAAGTTGTTTCAAAAGCTATTTCAAAATTAAAAACTTTTATAGAAACATAGTTTGATCACCTTTAAAGGTTATAAAAAGAAACTGATAAAATAATTTCAATATTCATTCACTGAAAATACTTATGCTTAAAAAGTCCATATAATTAATATAAAGCATATTATTTACAGATGCATATAATGACTATAAAAATGACCAGTGACAAAAACATTTTCATGCAGATATATCTGCTTTTCACAAAAGGAAAGACACCAATAAGAAACATACTAATCCCTCCAAAGTTCTCGTGCTTTATGTTTTTCTAAAATTAGTATAAAACTTTGCTGTATATAACAGTGGAATAACATGAAATGCACCATCTCTGGCATGGAAAATACTGCTATCAAAAGCAGGCGCAAAAAGTGTTGTAGGTCTGCATTTCCAAACAAGCATTAACACTAGAATGACCAGCCTTCCTTATACCTCAGAACAGCTGCTTATGTCATTTTACTGCAATTTAATCTTCAAATTTCTGTTATAATCCCTAAATAATATTATTCATTATGCTTTATAATAAGTAATTTACATAAGTTTACATTTCTATTTAAATCGTAATTATAAAATGATTAGTCAAAAGTCATTAATTCGGACACCCATAATCCGGAATGATCTATAATCCGGACCTCAAAGCTACAAACTTTCTGCGAATGCGTCGCTATGACGCATGCGCGTAAACCTTTACCGCTGCGAATTTGCATGTGCACGTGCGCAAAATACGTTTACGAATGGGCGTTTAATGTATAACGGACGGACGGGCTAAGCTAAGCTAAAATTATCTAATTATCTATTTCAGGTAATGTTGCATATTGCAATGTTCCTTAATCTTTGAATTGGATCCGGATTATTATTTTTTTTCAGACTGTTAGAGCAATTTTATAAAAGTAAGCTTGAACTTTCGATTATGTCAAATAGAATTTCCGATATACATTTACTAATATGTAAAGGATATACAAAGCGAAAGTATCTTTCGGAGTCCATTAAACAAAAAGTGGAATGTTCCTTAATCTGCAAAAAATGGATAAAGGCATATCCTTTGTTTATCTACACTTTAACGTTTATCTAAACTTTGTTTATCTTTAACGCTGCAGCCGCATGCAATGAATTGGAAGTTGATCTGTCAGCACTATCCTTATCTTAAGGGCAGATGTTTTTATTTTATTTGGCTTATAATTGCTTACTCAATGTAGTATTTCATCTCGATGTACTCTGTCTGATATGATTTAAATCAAATGCCTCCTCATTATAATTCGCTTCCGATAGCGAAGAGTGACAGAGGTTACTGATAATGAAAAAATTTCAATTGACAAATTAGTCGGTATTCTCGACACAGCAACTATAGGACTTGAACAGCGGAACTTTGTAACTGAACAAGAAATTATGTCTGTTTATAGAATTAAAGAGAATGTATTATCACATAAAAAACGAAGCAACTTAAACAACTTACATTGAAAGAAATGTTTAATAAAGTAAACAAATAAATATTAAGCTTCTTTTTTTTTGTAAATTTTGATACCCTTTAGATCATAATTGTTCTTTATTTCGTAAATTACGGTTTCATATTTTTAATTTTATAATTTCTGCATGCCATTTTACCAGATTTAAACTGATGATCTATAATCCGGAATCGCCGAAGTCCCGACGAGTCCGGATTAACGACTTTTGACTGTATTTTATTTTACAGAAAAATCTAACTTCTAGAATACAGATGACTGAAATTTCATAAAAGAATGCAATTTAGTTATAAGCATTTTCGGCATATTTTCTACACATTTTCTTGTAAAAGTGCTTGTTGTAAGCACTTTTTTTCAATTTAAATGAAACAATTTAATTCTACTCTAACATTCGTGCTTCTTTTATTTTTATTATTTGGGGGAAGGAGGGTCATTTGAGTTTTTTTAAATTCTAGCCTAAAAACCTATTAATTGTTTTAATTCAAAATTTTGAAAAAGAATGTGGTTGCAATTTTATTTGAGCAGGACACTAATAGTATCTCCTGAGAGACTTGAATGCCACATTCTTAATTTCCTAGAGAAAATTTAACAGTCCATATGTAATGTTTATAATTTTTTTTTTTGTTTTTGTTTGTTTTACTTTATATTGAAGTAAAAAAATAATCTCGTAGCTTAGTTTAGTCTCGTAGCAAGAGTTTTAATTCAACTATTATGTCATTTGTTTCTATATGATTCTGCAAACTGTAGTATGAGATGTTCCACCAGCTCTTTAAGTTTCAAGCTGAATTCTAGTTTCCCCTGATCAAGCAAAAGTTATCAAAATACACTTCCCCCCCCCTCTAAATCAACATAAACCAAAACATTTTATGCTTATCTACTTGAAATAAATGGGATATAATTATTCCATAATCGTAGATATCGCATTACTTCAATAGGTCACGCATTCATACTGAACATAATGAAAGGTAACTTAACATTATATCCTTCACAGGAAAAAAAAAAGAAATCAAAATCACATTAGGAAGTTTATTCACCTAACCAATAAACAGACAAATGTAGAATTTTGCTTTGTACTGAAATTACACCAGTGAATACTTTCTATAACTGGCTGTAGTTACTTTAAATTCAAAATGTTCAATTGTGTGTGCTATATATATAAACTGATATAAAGTAACATGAAAGTACTAAAATTTGCAAAAGAGGCAAACTGATAAACAAGCTTCAGTTTGAAATGATATCAATGGATGTTCTAGTGTTAAAAATACTAAAAAATTTTTCATAAAACAATGATTCCCCTTCCGTCCCAAATGTGTCAAACTTGATCAGAATGTGGCTCGAGTTTTAGAATCTCAAAATTTGGAAAGGAAAACTGCCAGATCATTGACTGTTAGGAACTACGACCTTAATTTTACATGCATATGCAATATGAATAATATATATTACAAAATATTTCTCATTTATCAAATATCTTTAAGTATATAAAGTATAGAACATTATTTAAATAGAGAATTCAAGATAAAAAGTATCACAGTATTATTTGAATAAAAAAGCACACAACAATCAGAAATACTTATTCAAAAGTACTGGATAAAAAATAATTCATGCACACAAAATTACTGAGAAACACATGATTTTACTATGACATCAGCATGTATTTCATTTTAAGTTATTTAGTCAACATTAATACATATATACATAAGCAAGAAGGGAATAAGAAATCGTAGATTTAAAAGTAAATTTTTCAATATGACCAGAATTAGAAATAGATTGAGTTCATAATATTTAATTAATTATTACACCAACTTGCTAAATATAAAAGATAAACTCTCAAGGCATCTCATAAGTAATGTCATTTTTTCGACAGGCCTTGTTGAAACATGTTCTAACATTAATTTAGAAGTCAAACTACACTTGTTTGACTTCTAAATTAATATTTGTTCGCTGTGTTATTTTATCTTAATGTTCTAAAATGTTTAAACAAGTGATTTTGATTAATGTATAAACTCAATTAGCCCCCCCACCACCACCAAAAAAAATCATTCAGATAAATTTTGGCTTGCAAACAAGCAGATACTAATTTCTTACTTTGATGACCTCTCATAATCGCAGTCACAGAACAAACATGACACACTTTACAAGTATATATAGTGCAGGAAATGAGGAGGAAGTGTATGGTAAAGATATTTTGAATATTCATTAGCAGCAAAAATGGTTCTGTAAATTTCCACGAGGCAGCCTTTTCTTGAAAAAATGCTAACTACTGTGGGTATGCTGTCTTTTGATAATGCACTGAAAGGAATCCATTTGCAGCAGTTAAAAACTTGGCATAAAAGGTTAGTTCATCAACTGTTCTCTGCCATTTGAAGGAACCTGGAATTTATTCGAAGTTAAAGAAGTAGGTTCCACATGAGCTTGTAGACATTAATTGAAGAGAACATGTAAATATTTGAACTGCTGTTTTTATACACAAAGTTTCATTGATGGGAAAGAATATATTATGCACATGAAGCACTTGAAATGGACCTTAATAACTTTTTTTTTTTTTTTTTTTTTTTTTTTTTTTTACGAGTGGCATTAAAAGCCTATTCCTATAATTAAGATACAATAGCACGCCGAACAAGTATTAATTTAGAAGTTAAACAACGAAAATATAATGCTGATTTTTGTTGTTTGACTTCTAAATTAAGCCTATTCCTATATTAGAAGAATGTTACTGATTCAGATAGAAAATATATAGTTGGTTAAATTACTATCTTACTTTATTTTCTCAAAACTTACTTAAAAAAATTGCATTACTATGAGAAGACCTGACAGAAGTTTTTAAAAAAGATGAATAAACACACATTACTTCATATACCAGTTGGTAATAATTTCAAAATGAATATAAAATGGAAAGAATATACCACACTTTTAAACTTCAAATGCTAATACACACCACATTTGAAAATGAAGCACACAATTTTGCAGGGAAAGACAGAAAATTCTGAAATACATTAAAGTTGAATGAATGTCATAATTTAGTTATTTAGACCATCTTTTGAAAATCATTAACTTCCAATGATATACAGTAAGCTTATTTTGTGTTTTGATATGATACATATTAATATTGCCTTTTTTGGCAAAAATCAAGAATATGTACCATCACTTTCAACTGATTCTGACAAGCTGCATTCCAAAGTTAGTGCTGCCACTACTGAAGTTATATCAGATAAGCCTGGAATGGCATGTCAGCAAAATTTAAATGAGGCACTCACATACTAAACTTAACTGGGTTAAAACATAAACAGTTACTTTATAATTTGCATTCTTATTGTTCATCTGCTTTATACCTTTTACTGTCATGCAAAATTGCATACTCCCATTTGAAATACCTTGCATATTTAAGTCCTTTTACATATCAGATTTTATGAGCTCCCTACTGAGACAGAAGGGATGGTAAAGATTTTTTAAATTTTTATATCTCAGAGTTTGCTTTTAGCCACAAAATTTTTTTAATGTTATTCTTTAAAAATGTTTTGTAACACAGCAAAGCATATAATACATTTCCACATAAAACACTAAATTTTTCCTCATTACCTAATGAGTTTACTGATAAAGTCACAGCATCTTAATATAAAAATAACAGCTCAGTGGAAGACTATTTTGGACTTTTCACCAATTAATATGCTTTTATTATTGTTTCTTACAATAGTTAGTCAATAGTTATTTTTTCCTATTCATACTGAACTGGGCTAAGCAATATTTATATGACTCCAATACACATATATTACTAATAAAAAAATTTTCACTTTTTGCAGGCTCATGAATGAATAATATTAAAAGCTATTAATATGACAAAATGAAATAAATAATGCAATTAGAACACTGAAAATACATGAGATCATTCTTCATCACACACACACAAAGGAAAATATAAAAAAACTTCTTGCTATAAGTGACTTTTCATTGACAAGCTTTAATGAATAACTTTCTGCCAACATGTGTGACTCAGCCTTAACGAGTTTTCTGTTTTTAATCTAGACTTTAAAATGAAAATGGTATCTCATAAGCTTCAACCTTTATCATAAAATTTTAAGAAACTTCAAAAGCAATCTAGGATTACAAGACAATATAGCATTCCTCTTAACAGCTACATTCTTTAAAAAATTAAAAAAATGTTAAGTTTCTTTTAATGATGTTTGTATCAATCAAAATTATCTAGAAATGGTTGAAAAAAATCAAATTTTATTTATAGGAGAATCAAGTTTGCTTTGATTTAAATGTTATCTCTGAAAATGCAATTAATTTATTACATACAGTCATTTAAGAAAATCTTAAGAAATTTTTATGAAACTTGGAATACATTAGTTTACCACAAACAATGGTTAAATTTTTAACCTTTGTTATATCACTAGCATTCCCTGATTTATTATGAAAAGTCATCACTATAATTTGTTATTAAAATGTCTATAAATATATTTAAAGTATATAGGGATTTCCCCCTAAATTCACCAACATTTTAATTAAATTGCCTAACAGCTGCATAACTTGGCATAGCAGCTTAAATAATGTACGTAAAGTTATGAATGTTTTAATCAATTTTGGTTAAGGCATCTAGACCAATGCTATTTTCCTCAAACTGGATTACAAAATATGGTGAAATACATTGCATAAATAGTGTTTCAAAAGTGTTATTGTATAAAAAAAAACAAAATATCCACAAACTACCATAATTTCGCACGTATAGTCCACGGACTATCTGTGTTTAAAATGCGAATTTTTGAAGCTGCAGACTATCCACCAGTGCGGATAATATGCTGGTTGTTCACGGTTAAAATCGTTGAAATTTAAAAAACATGCTGTCATGAACTGGCAATGATCAAATATAAAAAAAAAGCACAAGATTCCAAGAAAACATTCGTATTTATCGTATCGATAGTAAACCATAGAGCATAGTGCAGAACGAATGAGTAGTAGCAAGTAGAGCTCCTAAAATCCAGGCTGGCGCATCAAGCGATGCCGGGATATGAGCAATCACTTAGCACAACCAGTCTTGTATCCCAGTATCCTTTGCACTGCTTTAGCACAACTGCCGGGAGGGGGAAAAGTAGTTGATGCATCAGCTCGGTTTTTAGGAGCCTTAGTAGCAAGTACCTGGAGTACGAAAAAAAAGCGTGATTCGTTTACTTATAGCGTGGTTTGGCAACACCGAGTGAGTAGGGTCGAAGGTCACATTTCATTACCACTTATCACAAGGATAACACGTTGCACAGTATTTTGTTTTCGTATTTTGTCTTTCATCTTCGATAACATTGATGAAACATCACCGGAGTTTTACTGCTGAGTTTAAACTCAAGGTAGTTGAGAAAGCTGAAAAAGATGGAAATAGAGAAGCGGGCCGATATTTTGAAGTGAACGAGAAAGCGGTGAGAAATTGGCGCAAACAAAAGGATGTGTTAAAACGCATGGGAAGAAAGCGATCCAATCGACACGGAAAAGTAAAATGGACAGCTTTAGAGGAAAATTTACTGAGATGGATTCTTGACCAAAGAAATGCCGGACGCTCCATTTCAACAGTTAAAATCCGTCTCCGAGCGAAGTCCATGGCAGAGATGCAGATAACGGATTTCAAGGGAGGAATAAATTGGGTTTACCACTTCATGCGTCGTAAAAACTTGAGAGTTCGCAGCAGAACGACAACGTGTCAGGCTGTTCTGGACGACGTAGCTGAAAAAAAAGCTTCTTTCCTTCAGTTTACAAGGAAAGTTATTGCAGAAGGGGAGTATTCCCTAAAAAATATTATAAATATGGACGAAGTTCCATTAACATTTGGTTCCCCACCGAATGGCACCGTCAATACTTGTGGAGTGAAAACAATATCAATAACAACAACAACTGGACAAGAAAAGAGCCAAATCACAGTGATGCTCGCCTGCTGTGCTGACGGCACAAAGTTGAAGCTGCTCTTAATCTTTAAGAGAAAAACAATTCCCACGGAAAATTTTCCTCAAAGCGTCATAATACAGTGCAATGAAAAGGGTTGGTGCAACGAGGACATTATGCTTAATTGGTTTCAAGAAGTTTGGAAGAAGAGAGAAGGTGCCTTTTTAAATTCCAAAGGAGTACTAATTATGGATCCCATGAGGGCACACATAAAAGACAGTGTAAAGGCGGAAGCAAAAAAAAGAAAAAAAAAAAAAAAAAAAAACATCGGTGCTGAACTTAGCATTATTCCAGGAGGTTTAACAAAAATCCTGCAACCTCTGGATATTAGAGTGAACAAAAGTTTCAAGTCCCACATACGTGCTTGCTGGTAGATCTGGATGTCAGAAGGTTTACATACTTTCACAAAAGGAGAAAATATGAGACACGCTTCATACACTGAAGTTGCCGAATGGGTCGATAAATCCTGGAAAAGTGTTAAAGGGTCAACCATCTGATCGGGATTTATAAAAGCCAGGATTGTTAGTGAAAGCAAGGAAATCACTGACAGTGAAGATAGTGATGCTGAAAATGAACTTTCGGACACTCTTCCCAAAAATATGTTAGAACTGTTTAATTCTGATACCGATAAATCGAACTTTGAAGGTTTTCGTGAATGTAGTAGAATGTGTGATTAATTAATATATGATTAATTAGTAAGCACTGCTTTTTATTTGTATTTAGCATTTTATTTCTGAAGGTATATTAGTAAGTAAGTCCTTTTATCTATTTATACTTAGTTCTTTGTTTCTAAAATACATTAATATTGCCGTATTAAAAAAACGTAATTTTTGACGTATAGTCCGCGGACTATCCGATGGTGCGTACTGACGATTTTTGAAATTTTTTTTATATAAAATCATGTCTGCAGACTATACATGCAAAATTACGATAAATCAAAAAACCAAATTAACTAAAAACATACCTTTAAATCTCATCAAAATTGAAATTCCTTTATTACGCAAATTAGACACTAGATGCTTCCAAATTTTTTTTTTTTTTCCCCCACATCATTGCTACCAAAATCAAAAGTCAAGTACGGATATTACGTATCTTGGAACATCAACATGAATTCAGTCATGGATACTAGAAGTTATTATCAGAGAATATTTTGCCTCAATTATATCTTAATTGATAGTAATAAATGAATAATTTGATGCATGCATTATTAACCTCTTCAAGCTTTCAATTTAAAAAAATGGAAAAATAGCATGGCTGTTTTGAAAATATTTAGATTTGTAATCCACACAAATCTGTAACAAATGGTTGTTATGTGGGATTTATTAATTTTTTCATTCCTATCCTTATAAAACAAGAATAATTGCTATCAAATAATAGTTTTCATGAGTCTCTGCCTTTTCATAGACTGTACGTCTTGATCATGATTACAAATCTTAAATAAAGTATGTCATAAGTCTAATGTACCTTCTAAATAAAGCTCTCCAAGGGAAATTTCAAAAGACATTTATAATTTACCCGACTACATTTTAAAGCATTTTCAATCTATTTAAAAGCATCGCAAAGCTATTTAGATAATCATAATGTTATACCTTGTAACATTCCCTTTCTCCAAAGAACACTTGTTCACCCACCCTCAAAGAAGGGGCAGAGAACCCTCTTCTCGCCTCGGCTGGAAGGGGGGGATTTTCTCCCACTCGCAGGTGGCAGTAAGAGGAGATTGAGATGTGGAAAAGAGAACAGCAGGCGTGTGCCTGCACGCTCTACCGCAGTGAAAATGTATTTTAAAGTTTTTCTATGATGTAATTTGTATATAGTCATATATATAAGTAAATATTTAGCCTAGAACAAGTCTCGTTTAATTGACGATGTTACAATTATGTTATAACCCCCAATATTATTCTTCATTGGAAATAATAATGATCACTTAATGAAATAAAATAAAAATTAAATTTCACTGTTTTGAATAGGTTTTTACATATTTTTTTCAATATTTTCATGGAAAATAAAGGGAAAAAATTAACCTGAATGCAAATTTTTCTGATCAAAATTTTTAATCCCTTGATATACAAATAAAATTTGAAGTTGATTTGCTTAAAAAGAAGAGACAAGCACTGAAAATGGACAATTTGAATAAGCATGTGCAACATGATGTGCTCCAATGTTGTTTCAAATGAGAGCACTGCTGATACGGTAAAGGAAGTCCACATTTACCATCTATGAAAATATGATTCTTTTAAGAAGATGAAATCCTCCTTGGCAGATTTTTTTTCTTTTCTTACAACAAGCCACCCTCCTATTTTCACCAAGCCATTATAAAGTAGTGCCCAGAATGTTGGAGAAGAGCAGCAGAAAAAATGGAAATTATATGTTAAAATAAATAAAATACAGTTTAAAAATTAAGAGGAATTTGTATTTGTGACCTTTATACAAGAGTTTTCAAACAACCCACTATATCCCACTAACATACAGCATGCATTACACTTTATAATCTAAACTCATTTCGAAGTGACTTTGTGACACCTGAGATGTCTCAAATTATGTTCTGACTTTCATAAAAAATGATATACTCTAAGATTCACAATTCTGGATTTGAGAAATTGCATATATACATAATCTTCATTATTTAAAATGATTCAAATTATATTATATATATGTTGTGTTTCATATAGACAGTTATCTCGAAAATTAATGCCCAGGATTAAATTTTATTGCTTAGCAAAGCACAAATTGTTCGGAATTCTGAAAAGGTTGATCCATTCATTTTCAAAGAAAATTAAATGTATTCTGAAAATCTGCTGATTATATATACATACATATATATAAAAGGAAAAAAAAAAGTTACCCACAAAAAACTGTGTCTTCATCAAATTTAATTGCACAAATCCTGTTCTGTTCTGTCACACAGCTACTTTCACTGCTGTGAAGAAATTAGTAGATAATTTGACAAATGCCATTTCAGAAGATGCAGGCACTTCAGTTAGGCCATGAAGTCAGAAACTATCAAGTAATTGTCTTATACAGAAATAAGAGAAAGAAAAGTGATGTAAACTTAAAAATAACTATCCTATACAGAAATAAAAAAACTAATGTAAACTTTTGGGGTGAATATTCAGGCTATATGAAGATTAAAACAGAAACATACACAAAACTGCTTAAATTTTTATAGGCAAAGAGCCCTCATGTGCTACGCCATAATCAAGTAAACCAAACCAAATTTGTTTTAACCAGCTTCCATGGACCTACTATAGAAAGTGCAGCTAATAATGTAAGTGATAGTATGATAGAATGCAGCACATCACTGAATGCTGACAACCTAGATGCTGTGATATATTATTTATTCTCATTAAACTAAAATGCATGCAACATTTTTACATCAGAAAATCGTCCTCAGGGTTCTTCTGCTAAGGATTTAAGGAATAATTTATTCAGCAGGAAAGCTTACCAAAACTTTGCATTTCATGAAATTTCTCATCTTCAACCTAAAGTGTGTGTTAATACACACACTTTAAGTTATAACTTATTATTTCAAAGATTGAGTAAAAACTCATTGTCCACATCAAAATGGCTTGCTGATTATATATAGAACTTTCAATTGTTGGCAAAGAAAAGTATCAATGCAGCAATTTTACATCTTAACCCCTCTCCCAAAAGAACAAGTTAAGCATAGTAAATATTTTAAAGTGTTGAAAAATTAGAAAGATATTCAATATTCTGAATTATTTCACAGAGAGTTAGATTTTTTACTCCAAGATAGTTTTCAGGACTTTTGAAATGGGTTACAATCATCCCTGTAGATGGTACTGTATGCCAAAAGGTTAATGTTTTAAAGTTTTTTGTTCAAGATTTAAAAGTTAATAGCTGCTCATGCACCTTACTCCCTAAACTGCTTGTATACCACAGTTTTAGAACCATTGGTCTATACATAAAAAAGGATATGCAATAATCAGTAAAAAGAAGGTTTAAAGAGAAACTTAAAACAAAAAATGGTAGCTTTTGAAGTTATTATTATCGATCCTTTCCACAAATTAACTCTTTCCAATAGATATATAAATGGCTTAATAAATTTACACAAAACTACAAATTTCATACAAAATATGTTTTTTAACAGAAATATTTTGCAATGGTTTTTATTTTCAGAAAAAAAAAAAAAAAATTTAAAAACCATAATAGGGAGTAGGAAAAAGAAATATTTACTTATTTATTTAAACTGAAATATAGAATTTTAACAATATCATTCAGTTATTTTTTAAATCATTTCCATAAAAACGAATGAAATATTCCTTCAAATTATTAAAACCAGCAAACCTTTGCATAAGACAAGCAATACATTTTCAAGATTGCAAAATGTATGTTTAATGGGTTAAAAATAATTTCACATTATTTTCACAACTGGACTACAGCATTATCTATAAAGATATTCTGAATACCAGAAAGACTTCAGTGTTTATAATGATTAACTAAACAATACTTAAGAATGTATACAATAAAAAGCATCATATGGTAATTTTGCACACTGCTAGCATTTTTCAGTTTATAAATACACCAAAACTTGTCACAGCAACCACCTCTGAAAGTGATAAGAATTTCTCAGAATATAAATAAAAAAATATCAGGATTAAGCATCTACCTCTCTGAGGTAACTATCTGTCTCTGAGGAAAACCAAATCATCTAAAACCATAGATGACTCATAGTGAAGTTTCACTGTAGTTCAAAATCATGTTTTCAAATAACTTAAAAGACTCGCATCATCACATGAAAGCGAGACTGTCATCAAATTCAGATTTCTGAAAATTTGCATGATAAAAGGCGGTTTGTTACACTGCCATTTCATGTTAATGCGAGGTCTAAATGTATATGCATACAATTACATCTAAATTTTAAAAATAAAGTTTTGAACTATTTTCTTCCTTTTACAAAGTAATATTGGCAAAATTTTTTTGACAAAGTAACTACTATTTTTTTGGAAGGGGGGGGGGAGTAAAAACCGAATACCTATCATATCTCTTTTACTTACACCTTCCCTTAAAAAATTCAATTTATAGCTAAACTGAATGCATCTTTGATAACCTGGTACACTACATACATCACTTTAATTTACGAAGACAGTTACAAAACTTTTAAGTAAAGTAAGTCTGTAAAAGCATTTTAGAGCTACCAAATAATTACAGTCTTGAATATGCAGCTAATTCAAATGAAAGCCATAAAGAAATACAAAACAAAAATTTTAATTATAAAAGTGGAGACTACTCATTTCACAAATAAATATATTAAAGTACAAATATAAAGGCAGTTTTGTTTCATAAAATTTCTTTAGCCAAGAAAAAAGACATATAGGTTTTTTAGAAATTGTAATCACTGCAAAAATATTATAAAAATTGATTAATGATAATAATTATATTAATGATTTCCAATTATTATAAACACATTTCATGAGAATGAAATACAATTTAAAAAAAAAACTTTCTGTGTAATATCCAATGTTACTTTCATGCAAGTTTCACTAAAATGCAGTTGCTTAGAAAATCTTAGATTTCAATTATCACATAAAACTGGAATGTTTTTATCACAAACAATATCATTAAAAAAAAAAAAAAAATTAAGAAAATACCTTATAGCATTCTGTTATGATATATTTATTGTTTAACTTAAGGTAAAATATATTTCAATTACCATAAGTACTCATAACTTAATGTAATTATGAGATAAAAGAATAGTTTAAGTATAAAGTCCATTAATTTTATATACAAATGAAAAAGTGCCATATTAAAAGCAATTGAAATAGTATATCAAAATAATACTATTTCTTTCCCGACTTTTTTTTCCATAACTTTTCTTTAGCCTTTTGTTCCTTTTCAAGACTTTTTTGCAATTTTTCCAGATGAAGTCTCATTTCTTTTACCTTTTTCTTGATTGTGCTTCTTTCAGCACTACTTAGGACACCGAGAACCTATTAAAAAATGGTGAATTTTTTATCACATTATTAGAATAATAACATGAAAGCAGCATTTATATATTTTGTAAAACATAGGCAAACTTTCATTTTATAAAATTTATAAGTATAAATTAAGTATGTGTTGTTTAAAGTAAGCATGTAAAGATATAAATTTGTTCTACACAGTAATGTCTGACATTAAATATCCCTCCTTTTCCTTTTAAACGACAGACTACTTAGATTTTTCTGTAAAATGTTATTTTAAACAAATGTGCAAAGAAAACAAATAATATTGATATAAATTCTAAACAAAAATGTTGCAATCAAAGGATAAATTCCAACGGTGAAATACCTATGAGCTAATTAATGAGAGAGATACACAAGTTTCATCTGCTTTATATGAAAAGTCATATTTTCTGGGAAGTTCCAAGTTATTACAATGTTATGAAAACAACACTATTTTTTCATTTTAAATAAAATGCATATATATATCTGAAAAAGAATTTCAACCTATTTCTAATAATAATTTTTAGATGGTATCTGAAAGACTAATAGTTATATAAGAAAGCTTAAATACCTAAGCGCATATATTTAAGGAAAAAGATTTTCGTTGAAATGCATAATCTAAAATCTGTATGATTTGGTAATAATACAGTTGAGTTTCACTCGGTAAAAATGTGATGTGTACAAGACTAGAAATACTGAGTTAAAGAATTTGTTTCATCCATGATTTAGATTTGAAATTAAATCTAATTTGCTAAGAAACTTTTAAAAAAATTGCTCTGTAAATTAAATTTTGTCTGTTAGAATCTTATGTGGACAGAAAAATACAGAGTTCTAAGATATGAAATTTAACTCTCTTTAATTACCTAGACATCAAGATGACGGATCCGCCCCCCTAAAAATGCCTCTTCAAGAACCTGGCAAATGATCTTAAAATCAATTTACTAAATTCATATGTTATCTTTGTAAATAAAATAAACTTTTTAAATTCAATACCTTAGCAAGTAAAGTAAAATATTTGTTTCAAATTCAATACATAGAGTAAAGCTAAGTGCTTTATTCTATACCTCTGAAAACTTAATAAAGGTGTTTTATTCTTCTCTGTTACCTTGCACTAAGATCAAAAATATATTCCTCAACATTAATTGATTCTAGAATTTCTCAATACTAACACAGTGCTATCTCTTTACTAAATTAGTTTCCACATTTAATATCCTGAAAACACTTGATTCATAATATCAATAAACAGTATTTTTCCAAATACAAGAAATAGCTTAGTTTCACACAAAATTTAATCATATTGAATGAAACATGATAATGCTGTTGGGAAATTTGTGTTATATGTAAATCATTTTAGGGAAATTATAATTAAATCTGTCATTTCTTGTGTAATGTAACATGGAGTGCCTCGAAAAAGCGAAGCTTTGTCAAAAAAATAAGATTACAGAAGCAAATTATTTAACATTGAGGTAAATGGTAGCTGGTAATGGTTAGCTTGGCAATATTTCACCAATTTAGCAAGATGCTAGCAATTTAGCAAGCTACTGCTAGCTTGGATGCTACTGCATCCAAGCTAGCAGTAGTTTTGGGGACTAATTTTTGTTGCCAAACTTGGTGAAAAATCTCCTAAAGTTTTCAAACCTAGCAACATTTGTGTCTGGCCCCTGTCTAACTATAATAACCGCATCCGACCTTTATACATAATTTTAGCTGTCTATGCCTTCCCATAATTTCGAGAAATTGAAAGTACTGGAGATAATTAAAATCGCAATAACAACCTTGTATTTAGCGTACATACCATCTTTTTCCGAAAATAAAAGTATATTTTTATATTTTTATTTAATATTTATTTTACACAGAATACAGAAATTTAAATTTATTCAATTACAGTCATATCATCTTCTTCTGGAACATCGTCATGAATAAAATTCTGAATTATATTCTGATTTTCTTCTAAATCCATTTCCTGTTGAATCATTGGTTCGAATCTCTCATGTCTCGCGTTATAGCTATTGTTAAATGAATACTTCTTGTTTAAGTAGCCTGTTCGTAGTGCATTGGAAACATCACTATCAGTTATTTTGTCCCATGAATTTTTTACCCATCAATCACCCCTTTTGATTTTCGACTCATTCTGTGGGGGCTGGAAAAAGTTCACTGCGTCGTATGTGTCTCGGGGTTATGGTTCAGCCCAAATTTCACCCTGACGAGAGTCTGCCGACGCTAACGGATGAGGATGCCTTTCCTGTGAATGTATCTCTCTCGAGGCAAAGGGTGAACTGGTTAAGATAAATTCCAAGAATTAATTTAAAACGAACTGTAGAGGTAAACAATTAATTTCTCGGAATATTTTGTTTCAAACATTTCTCTGAAATGCGAGTATTAGGAAAGCTAAACATATTATTACTTATACTTAATAAATCAACAGCATTTTTTAACGAATTCTTTTTGTCACATTATTTTAACTAGGATTATTTCCGGGAGATGTCTTATTTTACAAAAAGTTAAAAAATCACGAAAATCACGATAGGGCTTATTTTCGGAGGATATCTTATTTTACAAAAAGTTCCGAAAATCACAACAGGGCTTATTTTCGGAGGATGTCTTATTTTCAGAAAAAGACGGTATATTAAATACAAGGTACACTAAATACAAGGTTGTTATTGCGATTTTAATTGTCACATTGGCGTGTTTCTCTTCTATTCTACTGGAGATATCTCGGCAGCTGGAGGAAAATTATATAAGAATGGAGAGAACATCAGTTTTCAGTTGTTAGTTCAGAACTCACTTTGGACTTCTGAGAGATCCATATGCAAGCTTCGCATTTTGGACAAGCTTTAAAGTTGTGTTTAACGTTATTAGTAATTAGACGTGGTAGTTACTGATTGTGATTGTGCTCTGCCCTGCTGAAAAGAGCTGCACGAATACTTTTCCAGAAAGTTTCAGAATTACAAAGTGTTTCTTTGATAAAAATAAATTCTATCAAATTTTTTAAGCTGTCATCGGTTTTGTGTGCTTTCAATCTGTGTGTGTGTGTGTTCTGTGTGCTTTCAATCCATTACAAACCTTTATGCAAGTAAAAATACAATCACACCAAGACACCAGAGAATATTTAATAATACAATAGTAAATAAATCACTAATTTTAATATATATATATATAACAATTCACATATTCATATACCATATATTAAATGTGACTGAACATTCTCAGCTTAAGTATGAAATAACATTTCAAAACTCAATAAGTTTAATGGTACCAAAATTACAAGTGAAAATCATAATAGCTTATAATTAATTAATTCCCATTCAAAACCACAAATTTATACAGTGATTGTTCAGCCCATGTTTTCCCTTAGGAAAAGCATGAAGTGACATAGCAGACCACAGTATAAATAAATAAAAATAACAAGAAGAATTAACATTTAAACACATTTATTATCTCAGTTAACAATCCAGGCTTGGTTGTTCAGATCATGTTTTCCCTAAGGAAAGGCTTGGAGTGACTTAGCAGACCACAGCATAAATAAATAAATAAAAATAAAAACAAGAATTAACATTTAAACACATTTATTATCTCGATTAACATAATCATTACAATATATCTGGGATAACTATCCAAGTCCTTACAGAAACATTCCTAAAAGTAAATTACACACATCTCAATTGAGTGACATACAAATTTTAATTCCAAATGATTCAGGGACCAAAAACGATTTCATCTTCTGAACGTTTATCAAGGTATTAATTTAATTCCTTTATATTCTTAAAATCATTAAAACAGGAATACTTTACATAAAAGACACTATAAACTTCCTAAATTATTAATTTAATTTATTACCCAACTTAAACATTAAAATTACTATTTTTGCTCTCAAGTTTACCTACAAAAAATTTTCTACTCATTGAACATATAATATTAAATTTTCAAATTTGTTTTTCTTTAAATCTGTCTTCTAATCAGATGAAATAACATTAACACAATAAAGAAAATTAGCACAACTAAATTTCTTCCTTAGTTATTAATTTCATTTACTACTCAACAGTTAAAATTTCTATTTCCACTCAATAGATAACCTGCAAAAATTTTCTCGAAGTACTTTCCATGAAACTAATATAATTTATAACTAAATATAAAATCTATCTAAATATAAAATTTCACCATCCATTTAAATAATAATATTAATAATAATAAAAGAAGAGCACAAGTAATAAACCATTCATGGGAGAAACTCTAATCCTTCAGAAGCCTACCGCCCTTCCAGTTACATTCTCCTTCTTTGAATGGCCCATGGGAATTTGAGGAAACACACAAATGAGACTATAAGGGAAGTTCAATTCAAAAGCCACACTCACAAATCAAAGTTATGGATCCTTTGCTTCCTTGCTTCCTTTATGCAAACCACTTATCCTACACAAGATTTGGCTGTCTAGGATATGAGCTGAGAGTTATGACATTCTTACTTGAAGCTAATGATAACCAGCCAAAAAATTATAGCCATGAAATCATACTCCTAAGCTCAAATGACAGCACACAGTCTCTCAGCACCCAGAAAAAATTACAAAGAGCATCCATCAGAGAAATTCTCCTTCCCATTTCTGTATTATTTTTACTTGATCCCCGAAAATGAGACAAATTTGCAAGAACCCTCTTTAGGAAGTAGGCTAATGAGGCAACTGCCTCTTTCTATAACACTGTCACTACTTCAAAAATCTATGATCAGACCACCACATCTTTTTCTGAGATATAATGAAGACAGCCAGGCTACATGCCCTACATTAAGGCAAACAGCTCTCATTTCTTTTCCTTTTATTCAAAATGACAAACAAATCTGAGACTTTCTTTCTACATAATCTCCAAAGAAAAGTCACTTAGAAATGTCCTAGTTAAATAATTAGCTCCTTAAGACAATTAAACCTTCCTAAGCAATGACCTAATTATAAATCCCCTTCAACCAGCCAAAACTGAGGTCGTAAATTGACTAACCACCCGCAACACAACCTACTTTCAAG